TTGCACCTGCAGGTGGGGCTTGGGGAGGGGGGGGGAAAAGAGGGGGGAAAAGAGGGGGGAAATGGAATTGGGGCCCGCGGGGGATTTGTGATGGGGCCGCGGGGGGTTGGGGTATGAAGCCCCATCGGGGAAGGTGTTGGTTGGGTTTGGTGCTCACATACCCCAACCGCCCTCGACAAACGTACACACACATACACACACACGTGTACACGCAACCCCCCCTCCCACCCCCCCACCCCCGCCTCCCTCCTTTCCCCCCTCCCCTTTCCCCCCTCCCCTTTCCCCCCCAGGAACGTGTCAAGGAGCTCACTGACAAGTTCACTGCGGAAGCGGATGCCGACCGCCAGAAGTTCGAATCTCTCCTGAGTGAAAAGAACGAAATGGAGATGGAGTACGAGGAGAAGCTGAAACAGGCTGAGGAGCGGGCGCAGGCTCAGCTGCAGGCGCTGGACACGCAGTACCAGGCCAAAATTATGGCGGAGGTGGAGCGGTACCAGGCGCTCATGCAGGAGAAGGAGATGCTGGCGGAGAGGTGCGGGGCAGGGGTATGCTCGGTATGGCTGCCTGTATGTGTGTGTCTGTATGTATGTATGTGTATGCCTCTATGTATGTGTTTGCATGTGTGTGTGTGCCTGTATGTAGGTGTTTGCATGTATGTGTATTTGTGTATAACTGTTTTGATGAAGTGCGGGAGAAGCGAGAGAGAATGGGGGTGTGCTCGCGGGGATGTTACTCAGCCTGGGCAGCGATAAAGGATATTTTATATATACCACACTGCCCCGGGCGAGCAACGAACAAGAACGGCTATAACATTTTTTATAACTATGTAATCATGATGTGCTGTTTTGACGTGTCGTACTGTTTCCGTACTGTTTCCGCATGCAGGTGGGACGAGCAGAACTCCCTTCTGGTTGAAAGTCACGAGCGGGTCATTGCCGAACTGACTGAGGACTACGAGGCCAAGTTGGCCGAGGAGGCGCTCAAGATTGAGGCGCTGCAGGCGGAGAAGGTGTGTGGACGGGTGGGGGGTGGGGGTG